AAAGATATTTTATTTTAATACCAAAAATATCTTTAACATACTTTGGAGTAATTAATTATTGGTAGTTAAGTGTTGGATTTTGATGGGCCGAAAAGAAACTAGGAAATGTGTTCATTATTTACGTTATAATAAATATTTTAGCATAGACGTCCCTAAAATGTGAGAAAATTATAATATGGGACAATTAAATTAAAACAAATTAATTCTGGGTCCTGGAGGCAATTTAGGTGACTATAAATACGGTCTGAAAGTCTTGGGTCTTTCTCATCCTCGTTCACCTGAAAATATTTTCGCTTTGTGTTCTCCTTCTTCACCTAGATTTTCTTTTCTTTTCTTTTCTTTTCTTCATTGAACAACTCGAGACCCAGTAAGGTAATTTCATATCTTCTTCCTTTTATCGGTCTTTTCCTCTTTGATTTTCACTTGTCAACTCGTCTTTAATTTTGACTCCATTTTGTTCTTTTTGGGTTTTGTTAATTGGTGGATCTGTTGTTTTTTTGGGTCAGATCTCTAAGATAAAGGTGTTTACTTCAAGTTCTTGTTAATTTTTTTTAAAGATGGAATTAGTGAAATTGACTGCATGTTTTTGGTCGGTTTGCATGTCGGATCTCTGGTGATTGAATGTCCTGTTTTTCGTTTGGGAAACCATATATCTGATTTCTGTCCCTAGTTCATCGTTATTTGTCTTGTTTTTGTTTTACTTAGAAATGGATCCGATTATTATATTGCTGCCGACATCATTATTTGCTAATTCCGATGTTTAATTAGTAGTATCTTAGGGAGCTATTGTTTAAACACTACATGATCTGACACGAAATCGGATTGTTTTTTTTCTTTTTTGGATATTCGTAGGATATTGAAATGGTGAAGATCTGTTGCATTGGTGCTGGCTACGTCGGTGGGCCGACAATGGCTGTTATTGCATTGAAATGCCCCGAAATCGAAGTGGCTGTTGTCGACATTTCTGTCTCAAGAATTACTGCCTGGAACAGTGATGCACTTCCGATCTACGAGCCCGGACTTGATGAGGTGGTGAAGAAGTGCAGAGGGAAGAACCTTTTCTTTAGCACCGATGTGGAGAAGCATGTTTCGGAGGCTGATATCGTGTTTGTTTCGGTTAACACCCCGACCAAAACGCAGGGTCTCGGAGCTGGGAAAGCTGCTGATCTGACCTACTGGGAGAGTGCTGCCCGGATGATTGCTGATGTATCCAAATCTAACAAGATTGTGGTTGAGAAATCAACTGTTCCTGTTAAAACTGCTGAGGCAATAGAGAAGATTTTGAACCACAACAGCAAAGGCATCGATTTTCAGATTCTCTCGAACCCGGAATTTCTCGCCGAGGGAACTGCGATTCAGGACCTTTTCAATCCTGACCGTGTTCTTATTGGAGGCAGGGAGACCCCAGAAGGTCAAAAGGCAATTGAAGCATTGAGGGATGTGTATGCGCATTGGGTCCCTGTGGAGCGGATCATATGCACCAACCTCTGGTCTGCAGAGCTATCGAAGCTTGCTGCCAATGCCTTCCTGGCACAGAGGATCTCATCGGTTAATGCTATGTCCGCATTGTGCGAGGCAACCGGTGCTGATGTGAGCCAAGTGTCTCATGCTGTTGGGAAAGACACGAGAATCGGACCCAAGTTCTTGAATGCTAGTGTCGGTTTCGGTGGATCGTGTTTCCAAAAGGATATTCTTAACTTGGTCTATATTTGTGAATGCAATGGCCTCCCAGAAGTTGCCAATTACTGGAAACAAGTCATTAAGATCAACGACTACCAGAAAACTCGGTTCGTAAACCGGATTGTTTCCTCAATGTTTAACACTGTTTCAGGGAAAAAGATTGCCATTCTTGGATTTGCATTCAAGAAGGACACCGGTGACACTCGTGAGACCCCAGCTATCGATGTGTGCAAAGGGTTGTTAGGCGATAAAGCTCGACTGAGCATTTACGACCCTCAAGTCAACGAGGAGCAGATTCAGAGGGATCTTGCAATGAACAAGTTTGATTGGGACCATCCAGTTCATCTTCAACCTCTGAGCCCTACTTCGATCAAGCAAGTTAACGTCGTCTGGGATGCCTATGCGGCAACCAAGGATGCTCATGGGGTTTGCATTCTGACAGAATGGGACGAGTTTAAAACCCTCGATTACCAAAGGATTTATGACAACATGCGGAAGCCTGCATTCATCTTCGACGGCCGGAACGTTGTAGATGAAACTAAGCTGAGGGCGATCGGGTTTATTGTCTACTCCATTGGCAAGCCATTGGATCAATGGCTTAGGGACATGCCAGCTGTGGCATAGACCATAGTTTTGAGAGACATATAACCCGATTATTCAATTTTATTTGCACTACATTTTTATTTGTTATAGTTCTAAAATTCTATTTGGAGTTGTATTGAGTTCTTATATGACAGCGTAGTGTCTGGTTCTTTGTCTTTAGTCCGTGGAACATACATGATTTTATTGTTTTTTTATTCATGATAAAATCTTTACTAGTGAATGATGGATCGAGGAACGATAGCCCTTAAAAAATTTGAATTTTTATATGTTTTTAATTTTTTTATAATTTATTTTTATTCCTTAAAATTTAATAAATTCACAAATTTTAAAATATTATAAATTTATCCTCTGAACATAAATTCATAATCTTGTACATGAATAATGTGATACTTGTTTATTGAAGTAGAGGTGTTTGTGTTTCCTTTAAACAGCACAGATGGCAAAGGCATTTACCTTGTAATTTCCTTACTCCAATCACCAGGATATATATATATATATATATATATATATATATATATATATATATATATATATATATATATATATATATATATATATATTGGTACATTCAATCCAAGGATGTTTTAGGGGCTGTTTGTTTATTTCAAAATGATTAAGCGTTGAATGATTCAAATCCTGAATGATTCAGAGGCTCTAAATGGTTTCTTTGAATGTGACATTATGTTTGATAACTGGCTCTGAATGTGACATGATGTTTGATAACTGGCTCTGAATGATTCAGAATGTATTTCTGTGTTGAATCATTCAACACTGTTTTGCTGAATCAGTCAGCACTGAATCATTCAGAGGTACAATATTCAAACGCTGAATGGTTCTATTAAGAGGCAAACAAACTGTTGACGAAAACGGGTAAAGAAAACAAAAGAACACGAGAATTTTATGAGGTTCGACAATATGCTTACGTCCTCGGTGCCTAGGCGGCGCTAGAAGTTTTATTCAATGATATTTTTAGGTCTAGGTTATATCTCTATTTATAATAGAAAATACTGGTACATAATTACAAAATTAACCCTGTACCGTACCGCGGGGCTACGCCCCCGCACCCCCAACCCACATAATTCGTAACCCCACAACGAGACTTTCTTTGTAAGGACAGTTGATGTTCGCTTCGCTCACTCCGCTTCATCTCTTGTCCTCTTTACTAGTATATTTATGAGCCATACCTAACACAAACAACCCCTTAGTTTTAACATTTCAGTTTAAAATATTAATTTATAGTTGGTTAATTTTGAGTTTCAATATTATTTAGGTCCTTTTCTATATATAAATTAAGTGATTTTATTCTTATAAAAAAAGAATAATTTAATCTTTGCGTAAATTAACATAAAGATGACCCATTACGATATTCACTCGTTTTAGTACGTGTCTAAATGTAATTGAATAATTCTCATAAAATAAAATAAAATAAAACAAAAAATAAATGTAATTGAATAGTTTTTTTTATAAAAATTTATATCATATTTAAAATAATTATTAAAACAATCGAAAACTGAACATTATAAAAAATACAACAATTTTGATGGTTAAAGTTAATTAAAGGTATCCTTACTAAATAAAAAAAACCATTTTAGTTTATCTACTAAAACTAGTTAATTAACGAGCGAATCAAATTACATTAATAATTAAATGAATAGTTATTATCCACAGAAGTCTTAGATTCGAATACCAGAGACTGTGCTTGAATTTTCATTGTCAAATTGATGAAAATCTTTAAAACAAATACTATTAATCCCCCTGAATTAATAAAAATAATAATTAGTCAATTAACAATTTCATCCAAACAATAGTTATTTTGATCAAAATTAAAACGCTGAGTACTAAAGTATAAAAGAAAAAGAGAATACGAGGCAAATTGATGATTCAGTAGAACATAAATGCTTATTTTTTAACATTTTATCTTTTAAATAAGATTTCTTATATGAGCAAATTCAAAAAATATTAAATTCTTATTTGATCAAATGTGAAAAATATTAAACACCAGATTAAATTTTTATTTGAATATTAATTAAAATATTATTTTTGAACAGTTTAAAGTAATTACAAGATAGTATAACTTATTGACAACACGCCACATTCTTTATAAATATAATTATTCGAACTCAAAATCTCTGAATAAAATAACATTTCCTTTTAATCACATTTATAAGAGAAAGAGGACATGAATAATAAATAATAACATGACTTGTACATATTATTATTATTGATCGATAATTATCAGATTTTTCTTAATACAATTGAACTTTTTGGGTAAACTAAAAATATATATTTGAAATACATGATTTATTATAATAAATTAACCTTATTTAGTACAGAAACAAACTGGATAAATCCTGACAGTTGAATAAATGGGTCTCAACAGAGTACACGGTCTGCCTATCTTTGAGCATTATAAAGATAACCTTAAATTTTATTACATTTGCCTCCTAAGATGATACTTAAAAAAACTAAAAAAATTACTTTAGATAAAAAAAATTAAAAATTAAAATGTTATCATATATTTAAAATAAATAAATAAATAAATATTAAACGTTAATATATATCACTAATGTCACATATTAATATACTCGACTATTTTTATATCCTATATAACATTTGCGCCTTCGCAGGAGACTCGAGTAGATATTGTGGGGTTATGTTATTGTTCTATTTCAATGTAAACCATGGGAGGGTAATTTTGACTTTTTAGGGACCGGAATGGATAATTTCGTAAACCCACTATACAATTTAAATTTACCATAAATTCGCCGAGCGGGATTTTTCAAAATTTAGTGTTTTGTGTCTTCAACTCCCACTCTATCGGCTCCATGCTAACTTTTACCTCTTCCTGAAACCACAATCCTAGATTTGAAATTCCTTTCTCCCTCATCAGCTGTGAGATCTCCTTGTAAGCATATGAAATGAACGGATCTTGTTTGGAATTCGAGAATCCGATCCGAGATGCCATTTCCAGGATCAGATTCGCGCCGCAGTCTAACAACCTCCTCATTTCTTCTTGGGACTCCGTTAGTAATCTTCTCTGATTTTTATTTCTTTTTTTTCATCTGGATTGCAATTATTCGCAGCTGATTTTGGTTCTTTAATTTGTAACAGAGTCTTCGACTGTTTGAGGTGGATTGTTCTAAGCTCAGATTAGAAACTTCGTCCGAGGCTGCGCTTCTCGACTGTTGTTTCCAGGAGGAATCTGTCTCCTTCAGCGCTGGCTCTGACGGTTCCATTACAAGGTTTTTCATTTTAATTGCTTGAGTGTATTCAAATTTTGATTTAAGCGATATACACACGAGTGGTTTCTTTTTTTTTTTTAAATTAAAGTTTCTGCTGCCAAATTCGAATTTTATACTCTTGCTAAAATTGGTTAAGAGCTTGGAATATCTGACCTCTTTATCTCGTAAATCCAAGATTCTCTAATTATGGAAATCCTTTTTTTAGGTATGATTTGCAGTCTGGAATCAGCAATAAAATTGGAAATCATGATGATATGGTAAACTGTGCGGAATATTCTACTGAAACACGTAAGTTAGTTACCTCATTCTTACTGCGATTCAGCTTAAGCAAAATTCTTTGTCAATATCTTACTTAAAGATACTGTGAGATCTTGAATAACTTCGCATATATTGAACATATACAACAAGAGGCTTTGTCTTATTTTTATGTCCTGCAGCTTTACTTTGTCATGTTTCACTCGTCAAATGAATGTGCTTTGTCTTAAAAGATTCTTGATTGTTTCTATGCACTTTACGAGTAATGATGATTAGTGTTTACATTTTGTAATTCATTTAGCTATGAAATTAAATGTTGTCCCATTACCGTGAACCTTCTAAAAACCTTTAACATATGTTCAGAACTGTTGCTGTATTTGTTAAACAAGAACACAAGAGAGTTTGTTAACGCAGTTTAGATCAATCAACGATTCTACCTCTGTGCAACCTTGTTCAGAGAGAAGTCCAATATAATATTCTCAAAACAACAAATACGAATTCTCAACTAATATCTCACTACAAGAGAATAATAAGAGATACAATTTCTCAACTAATATTTTCAGACAAGAGATACGAATTCTCAACCTAACTACACACACTAGTTGTAGCACTCCCCATACAATATTCTCCCAACTATTCTCTCCCTTAAATAATCTTCATTGATCACTTAATACTTGCTGTAAGCACAACCTTGAAACTCTTAATAACACAGTTACAATGTTTCTTGAATAAACCGATTTGTTTGAAATAATAAAAGGTTCTCTCACATGATACAATAAAAGTCCTAATCAAAACTAGATAGAAGTAGCCCTTTAAGTTGGCATCATGCATTCTTAATACAGCTTGGGATGCAACTCTTCTTTAATTAGGTCTTTTTAATTGCTGTATATTTTATTTCATAATTATTAAAATATTTCTTTTTGAATTAGAAACCTTATATAAAGTTTTTACTTATTTATCAAGTAAATTTGGCTTTGTCAAATAGAGTTACTGGAAAACAAGGTCTTCCGTTATCAATGTATATCTTTCAGAACAATCTTGTATATTTATTTGGTTAAATAAAAAGTCTACCCAAATAATGAAACTTTGTAATAGACTAACCCAAAGTTTTTGGTTTCTAAACCAATAAAGACTTTATGAAATAATTTCTATATTTATTTTCAAAACACATTATTCAATATGAAATAAATCTAGAAAATCACAGCTTAATTTGAGCCAAATATGCCAACAAAATAAATTTAAAAAGTTTTGGTCCAACTGTCCAGTTAGTGCTTCCACCCAGTGGGTACCACCTCAGCCAATAGTGAAGAACAAAATTAGTTATACAGATTTTTGCCCCAACAAAAAGTAATGTTTACTGAGGGAAATTCGTCAGCAATATTGAACCTCTGTATTTTTTTAAAAGCTTATAACAGTTTAAGAAAATGGTTTGTGCATCGAGTTTATGTTGCTCTGTGCCGTACTACCCTGCAGATGATGACCAACTGAATATTTTGTTTTTCTTGTTGTTACATAAGCTGGGGCTTTAACAGGGCTGTGATAAAGAAGTTTTAGCTGATTAATAATTTGGTCCTCTCTCTGAACAGAAGTTTTTCAAGAGCACAGCTGATACCTTTTATTACATATACCGCTATAAATATGAGCCTATTCAACTATGTTTGTAAAGGATGTTAATAATATAATTCTTAGAATCTAATTGTGAGTTTATCTATTCACATAAGGGCACATTGTTTTAATCTCATCATTGGAGGGGCGACGAGGACCCTTTAAATTGCAACATTCCAATGAACATCGAAAAAAGCCCATTATACAAACTGAGATCTTAAATTTACCATTCAATTATGTTCCTGTAATCCTATTTATTTCCAGTGGAAGTTAAACGCCTTATTCTATTATTTCAGGTCAAGTGATTACTGCAGGCTTTGATAAGAAGATCATAGTCTGGGACATGTTTGGAGCAAAGCCCCTAGTGTTCCAGAAAAATCTAGATGCAGAAGTGGAATCAATGTCACTCTCTGGATTTGAATTGATCGTAGCGGTTGGATCATCAGTTGATATTTATGACTTGCGTAACTTAGACCAATGTGTTCAATCAAATGAATCTTGTATGGATGTTCCAATACGATGTGTCTCCTCAATTCCTTATTCTAAGGTATTTTTCTTGATGTCGTTGACTCTACATGTAATGATCTCTTCTGTCTCAAAATTATTCTTGATGAATGACATATGACCAAACAGCTAAATGTGAATTCCACATGAATTAACATGATGGATTTTAAGCATGGAATTCTGTCAGAATTCATAATCTTCAATATAACAGCTTTACGAGAGATGAGCAAACAAAAAACTTTTCTGAGATGGTTTTGAATTTTTTCTATACCACCCTTAAAACTGATTATATGTTCATGCAGGATATGCAGTTGGATCGGTAGACGGACGAGTAAAATTAGAGATTCCATATCCTTCCGGTTCAAACAACATGGGGTTAGTTTTGAAAACTGTTGAACTTTTGGTTCAGTGTAGCAGTTGAACATTGAAAAACATAGTCTGTGTCAATTTATAAATCCAGTATATCTCATGCCTGCAGGTATATGTTCCGATGTCATCCAAAATCAAGAGATCGAAGAAACCATGTAGTACCGGTGAATGACATCGCGTTAAACCCATTGTATGTGCACTTCAATCAGGATCATCTCATAGATAACAGACATCGTTTCATAATGGCATTTTTACGGTACTTTTTGTTTTAGCATCTCAGGTGTTTTTGTCACGGGTGATAATGCGGGTTATGTTACTGCATGGGATGCCAAAAGTAGAAGAAGACTCTTTGATGTAATCTTATATGTTCCTTTTATTGATACTTCTTGTTCTGTCACTCTTAAGAAGTACATCATTTGATTCCTCGGTCCACTAATCTGCTTTCCTTTGCTTTCAGCTGCCTAGCTACTCAAACAGTATTGCCTCCTTAACATATAACCATGAAGGGCAAATTTTGGCTGTTGCATCAAGCCATACATTCCAAGAGGCCACTGAAATGTTAGTTGTTCTTCCATTTCTTTTGCTTCAACCATCTAATATTTACACGCTTCGATAACAAATATTATTTTGATACTGATTTGTTCATCGAATCATTTCGAATTTTCCGGTGACAGAGAAAAGCCCCCACAGATATCTGTGCATAAACTTGATGAAAGCCACTTGAGATCAGTTTCTGATGGAAGTTCAAGTAGGGAATGATTGCACAGATCATTGTATGTACAATATTCTGAAGGCGCTTAGTCATTGATTGCTGGTAGCTTCATTTTGCTTCCCTTTGCTTATCCAATTTCAAATCTCTGGCAGAGTTCGCCAAATCAATTTTTGACTTTATTCTGTTTTCTTGCCAAATTAATTCTTGATTGTATTGTGTTTAAGCTTACATGGTCGGCACCACGGGTTAAATCTAAGGTTTTCTGTTTCTGGTATTGATGTTTATGGTTTTGTAATGTATGCCGAGTTTCTGTTTTTCAGCTTGCTTATTGGCTGAGAAAAAAATTGAGAGTCGAGAGCAACAAGAAAAAAACTTGAATTGAGCCGAACTGATCTTTTTTATTTAGTTAAGTTGTGTTCTAAATAATAATTGAATAGTTCAAACCCAACGAGCTTTATTTATGTTTCATTTTAAATTTAGTTACTTGTGATTAAAAAATATTTTTTTTACCAATAATTAATTGGTCTAGTGAGATGAGTCACTACGTCTTTTAAGCAAAGTCAGAGGTTTGATTCTTGGTGTTTGCGAATGGAATAAACTGAGTTGGGAGAGTTGCCTTCGCCTCTGTAGTATCCGATCTGGATTAGTCGATCAATACATTGGATACCAATGATTAATTCAAAAAAAAATTCAATACAATTAAATAAAATTTGAGCTAAAGAATTAAATTAAAAAGTTATTTGAGTTTTAGAATTAATATTGATATGAAAATGATCAAGGATTAAAGTTAAAAAAAGTAGTCATTCAATATTAAATGTTGCTTTATCATTATTTAAACTGGACAATAAATGATACAAATTTAATTTGTTAAAGGTAAATAATATTGGTGGTCCCTTATATTTTTGACTTATTCAATTTTGGTCATTGATTTAAAAAAAATTAGTTTTTGTCTTTTATGTTATCGGTCAATACATTTTGATTTTTGATTTCTCGACTATTAGCGCTTGTTAACCTAATAATAGAAGTCTAACTTAACATTTAAAAAATAAAATAAAAACACGTATTTCCCTAAAATCCATTTAACCTAAAACATAAAGAAGAAGAAGAGGAGCTTTTAAGTCCCTATAATTTAAGGATAATTGTGTGATTTTATGTTGGAGGAACAGTGGACTCTTTTGCAAACCACCCTTTAACCTTTTCATTTCATCTTCAATAAATTTTTGTAACAAAGCAGAAACACCAATACCAACTAAAAATGAATAGATCCAATTCAATGTTACTCGGATTCAAGTGTGATTGTTTGTTCTCTGACTCAAATTTTTGCGTGTTTAAAGGGTTCTTGGAGAATCATATCCCCATATCCGAGCAGAATAGAATGGCAGTGAGGGGAATACCTTTATGTTGTCCTGGAAGTGAGGGGATATATCTTTGTCAAAGGTATCCGAGACCTTAAAATATAAGACAAGGCTCAAGCCTTCCCCATTAGCATCACCAAGAAACATGATTACCGGATAAGTTGGAACCTGTTTATTAACAATTAGAAGTGCAGGCACTTTTTCGTGCGGTTTTACATGTGGTAGTTCGAGGTGCTGAGAGATGTGATGAACTATCCGAGGGCAGATGAATAAATTGACACCGATTGGTACATATGGACTACAATCTGGTGCAGGTAACTTCTGTTTATCTCTGAATGACAAGCTACAACTTCAGCTTCTATGTATGAAGGATATGATATATTGCAGAATGCGAATAACAGTGAAGTGGCTTACCGAAAGTAATTCTTGCCTCAGAGCTTAAAAAGTGAAGGTGAAATCTCCCACCAGCTTCCTTCGGTCAGTTTCTCAGCTGCACCTGTTATTAACACTTTTAGTTCTATACAGCTAAGGTATCATTTTTCTTATCATAATGTTCAAACAAGATCGTTTTGTGATTTCATTACCTTCGAAAGATTTTGTCTTTACCGAAAGCATGATAACCGTCGATTTCTTTCGGCTCTCTGGAGTTTTCTCTCCTGAATTGATGGAGCCATTATCAACGAAGCATGAACTTTCGTACTGAAGCACTTGTGCACTTGAAATGTTCCCTAATGAAGAAAATGCATCTGGAGGAAACAGCAAAAGGGATACCAAGAAACAATCAGTAGGTAGCAATAAGTCGCCAACTGCATTACCTCCGTATACCCTTCCGTATACACTTCCGGAATCATCATCCGACTCGGATTCGATAACGCTAACAGAATCGAACCATACTTCCTCTTGGCATCTTCCTGAAATAGAGTTTCATTTCTACAGTTAGGAATTGTTCGAAAAAACACACAGTTGCTTCAACTGTTGCGGAAGACGGCTATCGGATAGAGCAAAATCGCAACTGATAATTTGAGAAAATAAAATTAAAGATAAAAGAGGCACAAAATTTACGTGGAAAACCCCTAAAATATTTAGGGTAAAAACCACGGGCAACGGTAGAAGAATTTCACTATGAGAAAATATGAATTACAACCTCTCTCGATCTACCAAGGAGAAAACAATGATAATTCTCTCTAGATAAAAAGGAGAAAACAACTCTCAAGAAACTCTCTAAAATCTCTCTAGTATTGGAAGAAAGTTAAAATGCTTTGGGATGATTTTGAAGCTAAATGGGCTAGGGTATTTATAGTTGAAAACTAAGGACTAATTTGTAAATATCCTAAAGTTTAATGACTAAATTTTGATTTAGCCATTGTCCAAAAAATCAACAAAACAACTCATTTTTTTCGGTGCATTTAATATGCACCTTTCGGTGCTTAGTCAATAATCTCCCACTTGAAGATTTGATTGGAACAATCATATCTTCACACCATTCTTTCAACCTTGTACCATCATGTTGCTTACGTCTCTGACAGGCCACAAGAGGATCGACACCAAGTAAATTTATCGGTATTGATCGCCTTTGTAACACCCCCAACCCGTATCCGACCCGGATACGAGTCCGAAGTGTCACATTGACTTTTCAAACATTTATTCGTATAAAATAGTGAGTAATTTAAAAACTTTGATAACATTTAACTTATTCAAAACATTTACAAAATATATCAGAGTTCATACAATTTTTATCTTTAGACTACATGCCAACTACACTCTATATACAATACATACATTTTCTGATCTGACATTTGGTAAGGAGAACTGACCTGTCTTGCTTCGCATTACTCTTTACTCTTCTCGAAACCTACGTGTGAAACAATCACACGCTAAGTCGTTGACTTAGTGAGGCATAAAACATATAATAAAACTCTAACTCGTAATCATGCTTGAAAAATTTCTACTAACATATCACATACAAGCATCATACCCACATATACATGTAATGATTCCTACTATGCACCTTTCATATATATATATATATATATATATATATACATATCCACGCATACATATAATATCTTCTTTCCTATCATATCATATTATCACCTTTCATATTTCTATTCTCTTGTTCATATAATCAATTAAGCTCATATCATATATCTTATAGCATATACAATAATCACTAACACACATATATCATATACAGTACATTCCATGTTATCTCTTATTAGCCTATGTGCACCTATGACAACTGTAGATATATGAGTCTATTGAGGTTGTGCACCACTATGCTGTCACCACAGCTCCTATAAATGTCCCGAAGGACCTATCCAGAGGTCACAAAGACCCCGGTAACTATCCAGAGGTCATAAAGATCCTCGGTAACTATCCAGAGGTCATAAAGATCCTCGGTAACTATCCAGAGGTCATAAAGATCCTCGGTAACTGTCCATAGGTCCCGAAGAACCTAGGTAAACTGTCCATATGTTCCTTAGAACATAGGTATACTGTCCATATGTCTCGAAAGACATAGGTAAAACTGTCCATATGTTCCGTAGAACATAGGTAAACCCTCGACTCTTGGCATGCCAACTATACCCTAGCTCTCATATCACATAACATGGGCATTATCATTTAACAGTTCACATTACTTGTCATTTCTCTTCTGTCACATACCACATGTATATGTAACCATGTATTCCATATCATATCACATGTATCACGTATTGTCTATTCATATGTCATTTCATATAACATATATCATATGTGCATGTAATCACATAGATCGTATCATATAGCTTCATTCATATCACATATTCATATAAGCTCATAGCTTCTTTCCCATATATATCACTTAGTCATATCTCACATAGCTCATATCACCTTGCATTGTTCCATATAACATAGATGTCATATCTTGTTCGCATATATTTTCCATATAACTCATATATCTCATAGTGCTTTCACATAGCTCACTATCATGTTTTCATATCATATATTTTATAATAGAATCTTATATCATCATTTGTTTCCTTTCTACCTATTCATAATCACATATTCATATAGTTTATTATCATATCATATGGTTTATATCATCATAACATATCACATATTCACATCAACCATATAATACATATATACAATAACATGTCAACACATATAATCATACACATAAATACTTCTATTTATGAATTCATGCATTTTACTATGGAAATAGACTTGTCGCAAGTCTTATTTCCATTTAACATCATATAATACTAATATGCACTCACCTTAGCCTTGCTTTGACTCAATTATAATCCTTTGATTATTCCGGAACTTGTTTAGGTTCAATATCTACATAAATATATCATTTCAAAACAACTATCAGAAGCCTAAACTTTAAACTTGATGTAATAACTTAAACCGGTTTAATGAATCAAATTCTATATTTCATTTAGGGGGGAATCGATACCCCTGAACATACTGGAATTTTCGTTCAAGAGGGGGAATCGATTCCCATTCATAGGGTATCGGTTTCCTCTACCCAGAAATTGTATTCTAAGCTCGAAAATCATCAATTTTCAACTCAAACCTTCCTATTTCACTTCCTTTAATACTCCTAACTTTAATACACATACTTAAACTTATTTCTATTCCATAATCACTTCTTTAACTTCAAATCTAGTCATTCCTATGTAATTGCAAAAATTATACTAGTTTTGTAACATGTTCAAATTCCTATTCTAACACTTCCTATCCCTTAATTAACTTGATTACAAGTCAAAT